AGCAGAGCAGTAGAACATGGCTTCCTCATCTTCCCAGCACCTCTCTTTGCAGATGCTTTGGTTTGTTGAGGCTGAGTAAGGCCCTGGTGCTCAGGTAGGGGCCAGGCTACACAGGGTGAGGGAGCATGTCCACATGCCACCCACCAGCTGACCTGCCAGGGAGCATCCTTGGCCTATGTGCCTTGAGAGTGTCCCTTTAAAGCAATTTGTAGACTGTTATCCTGTATCATTAACCTAATTAGTGTAATTGCTGCCATTTATGTAATGAGTATAAATACTGGAGGAATCCCATAATTAGAAGATGTAATTAGGTAATTAATAGATGACATGGTAGCAAAAATCCAGAGGAAACTTTGCAAGGTGGACGCCGCGTGTGTTTGTGCAGGTCCTGCTGGTGCTTCTCGCAGGTGTGCGCCGTGGTTGGCTCCAGGCTGGAGCCCCTAAATCACACTGGCCATGTAAGAAGACCTTCAGGTGACATGAGGAGGATCTCTGAGATCTCTAAAGATCTTGCAAAGGGGCTCTGGAGTGCCAGATTTTGCGTAGGGGGAGGAGCAGAGCTGTGGCAGTTGCCTTGCCATAGGGACACCTTTTGCCTTGGGTTCCTAGGAGAAGCAAGGTGAGTTTAACAGAGGTCTGAGATTTTCCCCAGCCTGAGGCTGGAAAGTGGTTTGAAGTCGTGTTTGCCCAGTGGTGTCTCTTTGCTACAACCAGTGCTGGAACAGCATGAAGGCCAACTCCTGCAGACATAACCTGCCTGACCAGAGGGATGAAAAGGAGCCCCAGAGCTGTGCTCAGCTGCCTTCTGCACAGTCCCATGTTAGTTCTCTTGTGGGTTTGGCTTATAAAAGTGATGGGAGCTGGAAATTGTTTTTGTGCTGAGAAGAGCTGATAAGGTTCCTGCTGTGCTCGACGAGGGTCTTGTTAGAGGTTTGTGAGTTGTGAGTGTTTTAGCTGGACCCTTTCTGGAGGTTGAAATGTTGACTTTTTCCTTCGCTCTTCATCTCTTGCTCCTCAAAGCCTGTTTGCACTTCTAGAGTACTTACATGTCTAGATGCAGCTGAAGAAAAGAAGTCACAGTTAAGGAAAGGGGTGTGGTTTTGGTGTTGTTGAGAATAATTTGGATTCCCAGTTGGCACCTTCCGGGATGAGTCACTGTCACTGGCTTTGTGGTAGGAGAAGAAATGTCTCCTTCACTTGCACACACCTCTCCAGCACTGCAAAGCAGTGGCTGGCTGAAGGGACCATCAAACCAGGATTTGCACAAGTTTTCCCCTTTGTATCCAAACATATAAGGAAAAAGCTGACTTGGAAATACCAGTGGGACCAGCCAGGCCAAATCTGACCCAGGCAAGAAAAGATATCTTTCAGCCACCAGACTCCAGCTCCCTAAATCAAAGCTGGAAGGGGCCCTCTCATCCAACCATTCCCTGGGAACTGCCAATGGACACTGTGGAGGAGACAGTTCCCTTCTTTCTCTGTCCCTCCAGCTAACTCATTGCCTCCTAGAAGACCCAGTGATCTTCAAGCAACTCACCTCCAAAAACTCAGGGATGAGCTCCCCCCCCCTGGGATTGCACTTGCTGGGGCATTTTGGTGATGATGGGGGCATTTTGGTTACAAGCTCTAGTGCTCATCCTGAAGTTGTGACATAGCAACATCAGAATGGCAGGTTGGACACCTGGGGCTGCTTCTGGGGGAACATGTTTTGGGGAAAGCCTGCTTGATGCTGAGCTCTGCTTGGATCCTGCTATATACCAGAGGGTAAAATTTGACTTGGAGGTGTTATTTGTGGATTTTAGCTGGGCTAAGAGGGGGAATAAACCACCAGTATCTTGGCTGTTGGATGTCTCATCTGCAGAGGGTCCTGGACTCTCTGCACACCATGTTGACTAATCTATTCTGCCTTCTTTTGAAGAAGCCATAGACCTAGTGGCTTTTATTCATGGCCTCTTTACTTCCCTTTTGGACTATGTCCTCTCCAAAAGTTGAGCTACTTTGCACTTCTTGGCAAAGCACTACAGCCAGAGAGAAGTGACCCCAAGACCTGCCGCACTGGAAGCACTGGGATGTTGGAGGGGGTCTCCTGCAGGCATTGGGTGGTCAAAGGCTGCTGAGTCCCCAGGACCAGCAGCTAGAGGGAGATATGACCTCACGCTGAGGGCCAGCCTTGTGGATGGTGTGGATTCCTGCCCTAATGCCAAAGAAAATCCTCCTGCTTCCCAGTGTTTAGGGTTCATGTAGTGAACACCCACAACACAGACTTCATTACACAGCACAAGTAATTCTTGAGATTAAAGACTTCTAAAATGGCTCCTGCTGGTATTTCTGCCAAAGTATTCCTTAGTCCCTGTCTACATGGGAAGTTTTATCAGGTGTATCATGATCAGTATATGCAGGTCCAGTTACACCAGGAAGGCTCTGTCTAGACATTTTAATTCCGGTATAAAAAGGGCTTTTTTTCCCCTTTAGCTTAAATTTGTTTGCAAATGCCCTTCACAAAATCAGGGCCTGCTTCATCAGTGTCAGAGCCTCCTTGTGTGTAGCACTGTGTTTAGATCTGTCTGAATTCCCACCCTAGACTGCACCAAAGCCTGCTCTGCCCCATAGCCAAGGGTTTCTGCTCCTGCTATGGCCCTGCATTTCACACTGTAACTTAAAACATTTTACATTTCCTCCATGTTCGAGTCCTTGAGCTCTTCACTCCTGTTGAGCACGTTAATAGTGTTGTGGTTCTGGCCTAGCTTTGTGCATCTTCTCCAGTGGGTTTCATTTATCTACACAGCATCCATCCGAAGTTACCTTGCAGAAATGGCCAGCTGTCTGCCAAAGCTGTGGCTAACCAGATGTCAGAGGAAAGCCCCAGGAATGGGGAGAAGCTTGAGCGTAAGGAGCAGCCCCAGTTGGCCTGTTGGGAACAGAACAGGAGGAGGAAGAGGGTGTGAAGCTTTAACTGGGAGCAGTTAATTACGTTCCTCTCTGAGATTTGTCCTGGTTCAAAGCAAAATGAATCTGAGGAAGACACATGGTTTCTGTCAGGTGATAAGCTCCCAATGTTGTCTATTTTTTTTTCTCCTAACTATCTCTGTCTACAGATGTATTGGAAGTCAGGTTTTCAGGAGAGGGTAGCTGAATAATTATCCTGTGCTACCTTATGGTAACTTTTGCAAGGAAGTGTTTGGGTAGACAAACCATGTGAACTAGTCATTAATATCTTATAGATCAGAGTTACGGATGTTGCATTATGATGAAATATGTATTTCTTCCTATTTCTTAGGAAAATGGGCTTGTAAGACAGAGTAAGATTTATGATGAACTTAATTAGTTATTTCCTAGCTTTCAAAATGTTTGGGTTTGAGAGATGATATGATAGATAATTAACTTGTTGTCACGCGGTGACTTTTAAAATGAAATGTTTGTTCTCAAAATACTATGTATCTCAATATGCATCTTATGTGTGCACATGCACACGTGTATGTGTAGGTAAATCTGTGCATCTCTGCAGCATTTCAGCCCCTGTTGCAGGCGTAGGGAGCACAGGATAATGCTCCCACATCAGCATCATCCCATGCCCCATGTTGGGATGAGCAGGGGGTGCAGCCCTGCAAAGGGGGTTGCTGCCACGTGGCTGCTGTGCTTGTCCTTACTCTGCTGCTGGAAGGGGGATTGGCAGTGGGAATTACCCTGCCCTCTCCTGGGTGGGTGAGAAGGAGAAGGCCAGAGATAAAAACATCTTCCTTGGTGTTTTGATTCAACAGCAGACTTGAAATGCCCCTGTCAGCAGGGTCTCATCCCAGCAGCAGGGCAGTCAAGAAGTGATGTATTTGTGATCCTTTTTTTCCTCTGGTTTGCCCTAAAAACCAGGAGGGGCCAGCAGCCTGGCTCCCCCAGGGTCCTGTGCTAACAGTTTTTGGGAAGTTCCTCAGATTACTAAGCTCCAGGGACACCTGCCAATAATAGGGTGCTGCTGAGAAGTGAGGGTTTGTGACATTTTTTTCTGAGCTAGTAAACTATAAAAGAAGGGAACTGTATCCCTTATTGTTCCATCCCCCAAGGACAGAGAGGGTTGAAGAGAAGCTCCAGGGAAGGCAGAGAGCAGGTTGGAATTGACCTCAAGGGATGTTGGATGTGGTCCCTGAAGCTGTGGCTGCCACGATGCCTCGTCGCTGCAGGGAGCAGAGCTGCTGCAGAAGGAGAGAGGTCACCTGGAACTTGATTTACTTTTTTTTCCCTTTCATTTTCTTTTGCATTTTTCATCAAAGCTTTATAAATAACAGACAAAACCCCTGGGGAAAAAACCTCCCAACCAGCCGCCTGTTGCAAATATGCCAGGAAACAGGAGGCAGGGGGGAGAAGAGGGAAGGAAGGCTAAATTTGGTGGCTTTTATTTTTAACAAGGGCTATTTCAATCTGTTTAAACCCATGTAAGAAAAAAAAATAAAATAAAATTAGAACCATGAGAAACTTTTGCCAGTGCTGTAGGAGTCTGTTGAGCCAAGCACTCACTCTGGCTGGGAGATGATGGTTCAGACACTGCCAAGGCCGTTGTAGGGACGAGGAGCTCAGGGACAGAGATGAAGCAATGTTTTCTCAAGGCCTCACAAGATTTCTCTTGCAAAGCCAAGAGAGGCTCAGAACTTTCTGAAGCCGCTGAAGGATGTGTCTGCAAGCCCTCACTTTTCTGCAGGGCTGTTGTATTTGGGTCCCTGGTGCAGCAAGGTAAAGTTTCAGTTAAAAAAAAAACAAACCCAAACAGCCCAAGCAGAAAGCAACCCCTTGCTTTTTCAAAATAATTCCATGACAAGCCTTTTCCTCCGGGCTGGCCCTTGCTGAAGCTGCTTGTTTGCAAGCACCTGAAGTCCAGGCGTCTCAAAATGACTTTGGCAGCATCCTGCTCATGTTCCCCTGGCACTCTTTGGAGAGTGAGGGTGTTAACCTCGGCGTCCTGGCCCTGTGCCAGGGTGACTAATTACATTTGGCCTCTATAAATTAGCCCCGCGATGGCAGCCGGGGGAACCGCGGCGTCATTTCCTCCCGGCTGCCTGGAGCTGCCCCGTGCCCGACACGTTCCAGCCCAGCACCTCGGGGCACGGGGTGACATGGAGGACTGTCACGGGGACCAGTGTGGACTCACTCCTGCCAACGAAGTTGTTCTGAGGGTACAGGTGCTGCACAACAGGTCTGGTTCTTGCCGCTCCTGCGTTTGGAGAAGGGAGAGCGGAGAGGGCAGAGACCGTTCAGATCAGGGTCCCTGCCTCAGCAGGATGACCTGAGAAATTTCCACCAGCCAGCTGAACCTCAGTAACGGCCTCTCAGCTAAAATCAGCTGAAATGGCACGAAGAGAATTGCTGAAACCTCCACGAAAGTGATTTAAGCCAAGGCACGTGACCTTGCGTTTGTCCTGGGCCGAAGAGCGCCTGGGTCTGGGAGCGCAGCAGGGGGTGTGTGGTGTGTTCAGCCATGTAGGCTTGAGCTGGAAGGAACTCAGTAGCTGGGTTGCATGTTCTACCTGTGACCTGGTCCAACCATTCCCCAGCATTGATTCAGGTTACTCCTTTCTGCTGGGACCCAGCGTAAAGGGTCTTGAGCTGATGTCTGATTATAACTGGGAGGGACCTCGGCGTGCAGGAATGGCTAATTTAAGATCAGGTACAATGTGTTGGCCAACTTTGCTGTGCTTTCTGAGGTAGATACCAAGCTAACCCTGCCTAATCAAGTCTGAGTTGAGATGGAGTATGTCTACCTGAAGGAGATGATAAAGCAAACAGGATTGGAAGGTCTAAACAAGAGAAAGCACAGCAGCAAGCCCCAGACTGTTCCTTTCAAAGAGTGACTGCTTGGTCTTTAATTTCCAAGGTGGAGAACTAAGGGTTTTGAGGATCACTGTGCCTCCTCTTTGGAGAATCCAGCAGCCCTGGCATGCGTGCCCTTCCCAGGCTGGCAGCACAAGCTGCAGCTCCCAGAGCTGCCCGTGGTGGAGCAGTTCCACCTTTGCGTGGCTGCTCTGTGTGTGGGAAAGGATTTCAAGAAACAATTGACCAAATGAAACCTCCGTAATGCTTCTAAATACTCAAACACATTAGACATGCCTGCCCAGCTCAGAGATAAATTAGAGCTATTATCACTAGAGCCCAGACAAACAAACGGAAGGCTCTCTCCAAACAAGCCATTCACTCAAGAGACTGGATTTACAAGGGTCGGGGAAGCAGCATGAGCTGAAGGAACCTGCTTTCTTCTGAAACCTCTTTAAATTGGCCATATTGACTGGTGCAGAGGGAGGGGAGAGAGCACAGTTCTGCCCTTTGGGATCTGGGGAATCACTTCCATGCAAGGACTATGGTGCTGTGATGTGCTGGCTGGTGTTCTGCCCTCCAAGTCTGCAATCAAAGCTGGAAGTCAGGCTCTGGTCCATTTTGCTTTTTTCCCATGCAGTGGTTGGGAGATCAAGGTGCTGGACTGCACCAGCAATGCCAAGGCACCTTTGCTTTATTCTTGGGATTTTTTGCTTCTGCATCCAAGGAGGGATAGGGAGCTGAGTTGGTGGTAAGGTGGTGTAGAGAGAGAGGTCAGTTCAAATCAGCATCTTGGGCATCAGGGAAACTGCCTGAAAGGGTAAACAGAAGCCAGAGTGTGTATTTTGGGCTTGGTTTTGCATGGCAGCTAAAGGAAGGAGCAGATGCAGAGAGTAAAAAGAGTAGAGGGAATCAGAGATCATTAGGCTTCTTCCCTGGCTGCCTTGGGCAGTGGGTGCTGCTGTGCAGGGAGCACAGTGGCACAGCTTGCTGTGGTGCCCAGGAGCACTGTGCTGGGGCTAAGCATGATGGAGCCCAGCTTAGGTGGGCTGTCTGGAGAAGGACCATGGGCAGCACAGAGTTTTGGCACTTGGCTGGGCTGTGAGCTGGGGGCTCTGCAGCACTGCAACCCTCACCCACTCACCTGGCAGCTCGGACCAGCATCACCCTGAGACCGAGGGTGCTCTCCTCCTAGAGGTGCTCTTGAAGCCAAAAACTTGATCATAAACCAAAGTGTTGCTTTTAGGAAGACATCCAGTCTCCATGCAGGACCTCTGACTGATTATGAATTTGCCATTTCCCTTGGTAACCAGACCTGGTGATTAACTACCCTCACTGATCAAAATTGTCTTTTATTTTCCATTCAAGGTTCTCTCACTCTGTGTTGTAAACTCTCACTATTTATTTTGGGTTTTGCTGCTTACTGTGCCTTTTACCTGTGAGCCTAACAAACATGCCAATCTCAGCTATTTTCAGTCTGTGGGTATCTGGGATCAAGCAACGACAAAGATTTTCTTTGACTGCTGAGCAGACAGAGCCCTTTCAGTCTTTTGCAGAGCTGAGCACAGGCAGAGCAGAAGCTGTGCTCACCACTGCCTTGAGCATCTCCCAGTGCATGGGATTTTATTTAAAGTCCCAGCCTCTGGACTTGCACCATTATGAGGACCTTCCACTGTATTTTTGCAGAGACCTGAAAATGTGGCCCAGAAGACAAACAATAATAACAATAATAATAACATAATCAGCAACAACAACAACAACAATAATAATAATAATGGCATTTTAATATTTTTTAATGCATCAAGAGTTCTGTGATGTTTTTGTTTATTGTGAGCAGGAGGGGAGGTGGGTGCTTGGCTTGGTGACTAATCAGCAAAGCTGTGAACTCGCTGAGGAGACACCACAGGGTGCAACAGGTCTCTCCTTGCATGTGTGTTTGTTTCCTGCAGGAAGGCAGACATTGACCCAAAATTCTCACAGTTCTTCACCTGCACAGTACAGAGTAGGTTTAGTTGCTCAAAGTGGCCTGTCTGGCCTTGACAGCTCTGAGTTTCAAGTCGTCATCACCTGCAGGTTCTTCTGCATTGCTGGCCAGGCTGAAGGGCACAAGTGGCCTCATCATCAATGTCACACATGTGGAGAGAGGCAGAGTTTATTTTCTGGCTTCCATCAAGGGTCAGAGGTCTGCTGCATTGTGTCAACCTCCCCCTGCCAAGCTAACGGGCTTCAGTAATCCCACATCTTGGGCTTTGTTTGTCTTCCACTGTGTTTGTCACTCTCCCTGTCCCTCCTGACAGCACTGTGGGATGGAGCACTGCAGTGGCCACCTCTGCACGACTGTAGGGCTAGGGATGGTGGTGGCAGCATACCTGGGGAAAGCTGGCAGGCCCTTTGAAAAGGGCAAGTATTTCAAACTGAAACAACAAGAGGCTTTGTTTAAAAATACTGAAATGATGTGTTTGCCCCTCTTGCATTCCTCTCTTTATATTTCTTCAAAGGAAAAAAAAAAAAAATCACCAACCTATTTGAGAAACTGGATCCAGAATAATAGTAGCTTTGGTGACTGTACCTCAGCTGGTTTTCTGTTGATTTAAAACTTCAGCAAGCCCTACTGATTGCAGCCTGCCCCTCTTGAGTTTCTGCAGCCCTTGCAGTGAAGCTCTACCTCATTCACCATTTCCAGACTTCAAGATCTGGGTATTGTTACCTGCTGTTTCTGCTTCTAAAGGGACTCCAGAGGCTGGGAAATTGGAAATGTGCTTCTAACCAGTGTGGATATGGTGAGTATGTGCTATCCCTTCCAGAAAAGAATCAAGCTCTTAGGGGCTGAGAGAAAGAGAGGGGGGTGGGTGTGTCTTACACAGAGATTCATGTGGCATCCTACAAGGATGAAAGACCTGTTGGTAGCATAGACCTATGGTTGCTGTGTTTGCTTCTCAGTTATGACATGAGGCCTAAATGAAGGTGTCAATAAAATATTCTATGATGGGCATATAAGACAGTGGTGACTTGTGTGTGAGGAGGTAGGTTGTGTCCATCTGACACGACCTGATCAACCGTGGAGAGGCTGCTTTGCCTCAGTTTTCAGGGAGAGAAACCTAACCTGGTGCCCAGGTGCTGTGGGTCAGGGGAGAGACTGCTGGGGGCTCAGCTCCTGGGAAGATTATCTTGTTTATTTATGTGATGGCGAGGAAGGAGTTTGTGTTTAGATGTCAGTGAATCAATGGATTAGAAGACAAAGGATCAAATGAATGTTCTTTATTTTCTGAAAAGCAGACACAGCCTTGGCTTTCAGTTACTGCAGAAGCAATCAAGAATTTTTCCTAGCAGAAGTGAGAGTTCCAGTCAGTGAAACCCTGTAAGAGAGGGTCTGTGCCTCATGCAGGTGGCAGACATACAGACAGTGCAAGGGAGAAGGAGCAGTGACTGGTACTTTAGCACATTTACAGGAGCCAAAGGGCAGAGCTGGGACCACAGGGCCAGCCCTGGGAAACCCAGGCTGTAGCACTGACCTCCCTCATCCCACAGCAATGCTCTTAATGCTGACCAAGACACATTTGTTCCTGTGTTGCCCCTAGAGTCACTGCCTGAAAAGCACTCTATGAGGCAACAGAAACACAATGTGCTATTATTTTTATTTTAGGCTGGAGCCATTCACACAGTTTCTCTGCAAAATGGGTATCCTCCCTCTTTTTTTTTGTGTTTAGCTGTTTGTGTTTGTCTGCTATACCCTGCCCATCCAGCATCTAGCAAAATGAGATGCTGATCTTGTCTGGGGAGGTAAAATAGTGCAAATTACCCTCATCTGGAAACCCTCTGGGTTTGAACATGAGTGCTGCACTTCTGCTGTAGCTCCACATCCAAACCGGTGGAGCTAATGACCTGAAACTGCAGGGAAGTTTGGACACAGGCTGCAACTCCATCTCCCAGTAATGCACTTCTCAGTGGATTAGGAGAAGCTTCCCTGGCAAACTGGGAAGGAGTCCAAGCTGGGGAGCTGGTGTGATAGGAACTGACAGGGCCGGAAATCTGATTTCTGAGTCTTTGCGCGTGTATTTCTTGTGAAAGAGGGAGAGGGAGCCAGGAGTACTTTGAATCCTGCAATCATTAAAACCAATTCCACTTTTCCTGCCCCTGCCCACCTCCTGATATGTGTGTGAAACAATCTTTACAGCTACACAGCCATCAGATGGTATCGACCCAGCGGTGGAAATTGCTATTGACTGCTGCTGGTGCTGCTCTCTGCACTTCCGTGGCTTTTAAAGCGACACTCTTCAGGTGATTTTCCTTTGCACATGATCCAGCCTGGGCAGCCCTGCCTCAAGTGGGATGGAAAGAGCATGTGTGGCATTTGTGTGTGCATGTCTGTGCAACAAACACTATAGC